TCTGGAATAATTTTGGAAAAATTTAGCATTATAGAGGGCCCATTTACCAATCAGCATCCAACATTAAAGGTTACCCACTTTTCCTAGGTAAGCTTGGCAAATCCCGCTCTCCCAGGTGATGCACAGGTTCTTCCTTGAACAGGAGGGCCCCCCTGGAACCCACTAAAGTGTTCGTCTGATCTGCGGCCGCCTCAGACATTCACAAATGATCACAAAACGATGGACATGTTTGGCCACTGTGACCATTCCTTGCCCATGACTTGGAACGTTGAATCAAACCAAGGCCTTCATCAAATGCCGGGCAAGGCATCACAGAACAGTGGGACCACCCTCTGGTGCCACAAACTGATCACGTATCCTCTGGTGGTCTGGTGACTTCTCCGTCCACCTCTTTGGTGGCGCCCAGTGGCCAAGTAGAGAGCGAAGGCCCATCCGATGTCCGAGGGCAGAAAGCCATTCCTGGAAATCGGAAGAGCGGCGAGCGCCCAAGGCAAGCGCCGCTCGCGCCCCGTACATGTTTGGACTGACCGGATCACAATATGACATGTCTTATGACTGACCAAAATGCTGGATGGTCAAGTTGATGGGTCAATCTGGAGTCAAGTTGATGATTCAAATCCAGTGGATTTCTGTTGTCAACCATGACCTTCAAAGTACAAACTGCTCTTCATCACTCGTTGCTACTGCAAAAGCTGCGAATGTAGAGACTGCAGAACTCTGACACGATGAGAAGGATCCTGAGGCCTCCCGGAGATTTATACATGGGTTTACGGTTCAGAAACCAAGTGATTAAACATACATGTAAGTTGAAGCCCCATCTAATCAGGCGGCACGCGGCTACGCATCCCTTACATCTTGTGGACGTGCTTTCGGTTAGCAATGATCAGTCGTGACAGTTACGGGCTGAGTCACAGCACGTTTCAGGGTTCGCCAAGTGAGTGTCACGGTGGAAGCACTTGCACTTGCGCAACTCGCATACCAACAAAAACCTACATCTTGGGCTCCATGGACCCAATCCGAAACCAACCAAAAAGCAGTGTCTTTCGGAGATGTTTGGAAACATGGTCACCGCCCAGCGGTCAAATCGACTCGACTCGGTGTTACATAATTTGGCGAAGACCTGAGACTCAAGTCGCCAAGCATCAAGTTGGGATGAAAGATCAGCGAAAGCCCAAGCGCCCCAACGCCCAAGTAGAGGTGCTGAAAGGTGTCGGTATCCTTGGGAGAAAAAGCACGTCCAGTGGTAAAAGCATGTCCAAGTGGACACCGGTGATACTCCAGCCTCGCTGCACGAATGCAGGGCACCTCTCCACCGGTATTTCAGAGTGATGTCAACGGACCACCAATGGTCCGGTGTCCGGTGACCACAACTCGTCCAAAACCATGCGCAAACCGGTCTCATGAGTCACATTCAATAATAACAATATCCTTCCAGAACCCTCCTGTCGGGGTGTCCAATGCACTACCCCACACTATACCTATAGGCTTCCAGACAGGGCACCCCTTAGAGGCTCCTGGTTATCTTTATGTACCTTTGGGGCTCACATATCCATAGAGCCACTTTGCAAGACTGTTGGGGATTGACTTATATAAATCTAATTACTGTAGATGTTTGTTTGGGGTCACCCTACCTTTTCGATCCTTTTGGTGGATGATTCACTGAAACTCAGAATTTTCATGGTGCCTCATGCTTCCTCACCACGTTACTGTTGCTCATGAAACCCAGAACCTGCAAAGCCGTCCAACACGGCGCATCCTTTTTCACGGCAGAAAATGGCGATAGTGATGGGTCTAATGTGCAATCCTGTGGATGCAACACATGCACTCCAGCCTCGCCCTGAAAACAGACCAGAAAACGGCGCCGGCTGGAAACGCGTGGCCATGTGACCACGCCAAGCGCGAGCTTCGGGAAAAATGTCTAATTTTTAACAAGAGCCGCTGAAGCTCCGTTGAGAAGCCTGTAAAGAGGGCAGTTGTGTGTTCAAGTCAGCTTGTCACTGTTCGGTCTGTCCATGTTCTGTGGTGCCAAACAAGCGCCGGCGGGGAAGTATTAAAGTGACCATTATTGATATCTAAAATCAGTTGTGAGGAAAGAGGTGGCACACGTGCCCAAAGGTGGTATTATTGCACATGTCAACTTCTTTTTACCAATGGTCAATGGTATGGTTTGCGCAACCCATTCTGAAACCGGACTCACTGCGCTCAAAAGCTCGGCAAGCAAACCATGCGATGTTGAGCGATTGCGCTCGGCAAACCGTGGGCTTCCCGTTGGGACTTCAGCTCCCAGCTCACTCATTGCAAATGGTTCTTTCTGTCACCAATGTTCCAACCTGCGCGAAGTTCCGAGCAGTCATGAGTCATGAGTCATGAGCAGTCAGGGCCTCAAATTTGATGTCGTGATCAACTGATGTGCAAATGTCCACCTCAAATATCGTGCTGAAAACAACCTGCTGCGGGATTCCCTTGCAAACCAAGCCTCTACATTGGAATCACATGTTACCCCGGCGTGCCGAGGAAATCTCAGTCAGGTCACTAGATGAATTACTAGAGCCAGAGAATCTCAATCTCAACAAAGGGCTGCTGCATGATGCCGCCTGATTAACATTGTAGATGTGGACATGTTGTATAATATAATATATACTTTTAACATATATGCGCAAGTACGCTGTATGCATATAAAAATTGAGTAATTACATACAAATACATACAGCATCTATGTCTTCAGAATATGTCAGCTGCCATGTCCGCCTTTCTGGACCAAAAGACACGAAGAAGCCAGTCCGGCCGAGTCCGCCACCAGGCCCCCTCTGGCCTTGAGAGGCTCATCGCATCCAAGGGTGTGCGGCAATGGAGTTCAGGTCGATGCGCGCCGCAGGGTTCACCACGAGCCTCGAGGCGTCCGGTGTTCTTGCGGGCGAAGCGGCAGGGGTTCCTGGCGTTTTCTGGCGCAGGAAGATGTGGCATGTGATGTCATACAAGGCAGGAAGATCTGACCAAGCAAGTTCCATGCGTACCGTCCAGGCTCTCCCGTTGACACCAGCCACGTGGGATCTGAGGGGTGTACTCAGTTGCACATCCGATTGAAGAGTTGCCAAATAAAAACGGGCATCCAATTGGAAGTAGGTTTGGAGGTCGGGCATGTTTAGTCTGAGTCCGGAGGGCACGAGGTTCGAGGTTCAGGTATGGTTCAATCACATCTACCTGTAGTGGACAGAATCTGACTGCACAGAAGTTGAAACCACTGTGTTCGTAACAGAGTCATCCAAGGGCCAATTTCCACTTCCATGTTAGTGAGTCGGAGGGCATCACATGTGCAGCTGAGTCATCCAAGTGCCACCGTCCGTCAGGTCAAACCAAGGACGAAAACACATCCCCTCCCTCTCGCCATCGACGAACACAGAAAAATTGCCATAGAACAGAGCTCAGGGGGAAGCACCGCCAGAACAAGTGACCCCAAGGCTCGTCAGCAATTCAATCCGCCAAAAGCCTCCCAACAAAACGCTGGAGGGGTCGTGCTTGCAAGTTTTAACTGCCCAAGAACCCAAACGACATCGCAAATCACCAAGTGACATCTTGCTCAGCAAATCCATGAGCTGTGGAGATGCTCCCGGGATGGGTTGATATCTGCCGGCCATGACATCATCCTGCCCAGCTGAGAGATCAGCGTTGTACCCATTCTTCTCGTATGGCCCTGTCCCAGCCTCCCTGCTCCCCCGGCCGGCCAGTCTCTGAACAGTCACTTTCATTGCCCCACATTGGGCACAAAAAGAGCCATCGCGCAGAAATATTGTCTATCAAAAGTTACTCCAGTTTCTTGAGGGCTTCAAAGTCATCCATCAAACCAGTTTCCAGCCATAGAAACTGTTCATCTAGGTCTAGGTGTTGCTTCAAGTGCTTGGACATGCTCGGAGAGACTGCCCAACACCAGCAACCCCAAAGCGCGAAGAAAGCCATCCACAAAATGAAGAGCCGGATAGCAGAGGAAATCGCCCTCATCACAATCACTAGAAAAGCAATGTTGGAACCTTCAAGTTTATTTACCGAGTGAACAAAAACTTGACAATAAACTACAGTAACCGCTTGAAAATACCATCACTCACTCACTCACTCACTCTCTCTCTCTCTCTCGCGCTCGGCACCGTCCGCGACGAAGATCCGCCGTCCTCCTCAGGAGGGAAGGGTGGGGTGCCCGCCACCATGTTGTACAGAACGCATCCCAAACTCCATACGTCGGCCTGCTGAGCGACGCGCCGTGGCCGACGGACTCCTCGACCAAAGCAATCGACCTTCGTCAACCAAAGTCAGTGACATCCTTCGTCAACCGGTCACTTCCCAACCAAATTTGCTCTCACGGTGGTGATGTGTTGAACGCCAGATGTTCACAAAAAACACGCGCGAGGAATCAAGAAACCCTGTGGCAAGCACTTGTAGAAACTGACAGGTCAACTTTGAATCAGAATCCCTTCAAACCCTTGCCAAATGCTGTTCCACAAGCACAGCATGATCATGAGGAACATCATGTATTGCAACCTTGGTACGTGTCAAACCGACGGCTTAGTCTCTGAGTCAGATCAAAGCCGTCCCATCGGTGCCCGGATAAAAACTCCAAGAATCACAAAAAGAAAGGAGCCCAGGGCCAACATGAAACAAGACTACTTTGACGTCCTTAATCTATTCAGCACTGAACACATATGCCAATGTTTCTTTGATCGCTTCTTCGCCGCACCAACCGAGCAGTGTCTTCCAAGTCCAGTCTGACTCGTCATCCTTTCTCTCAGCAGTCTGGTGCGGTCGAAGGGAGTCCTGAGAATCCTCTCAGGATGGTATGGGATCTACAGCCTATCATCCACAGAGTTTGGTGCGAAAAAGATCTTATGAGTCTGATGCACTCAAAAACAGAGGAAACATCATGACCAACTATCCAGGCATAGGCACGCGGCACGACTTGTTTTCGAGGTCACCAGGTCACTAGACGTACCACTCAAGCTCCATCTCACAAATCTTGTGAGGAACGTGGATCTGTTGATCCTTGTTTTGTATATGTGACCTGTCCTCATGTACAAGAAATCCATCAACCACGCCCAGCTGCTGGTTTGAGGGCAGCTCCATGATCCAGCCCAGCCCTCCCGGCCTTGCCATCATACGGCTTAGGCTTCATCTGGGCATACTGCCTCAGATGATTGGTGCTTGGAGCTGCATGTCATCCTACGTGGCCTCCGCCTTTTCGCTTTTCTCTCAGTGAGGCCTACGGGATGCCTACGCGAGCAAGTGCCAGATTGCAAGCACATAGCAAAAGCCTAATAACTGCAGTGGGAGGCACCAGGCCAGCCAGCAGTGACAGCCGTTAGCTGGGGGACCAATCACACCACCAAGGCACTTGCATCCGCTTCAAGCTACTGCAAAACTCCACCACAACCAACGCTTCCCAACGCTACCCTATGCTACCCGATCAGGCGGCAACATAACATTGCACTACGTACTTTCTTTCTTGGTTCGACCTGCCTGCGAAGTGATGCAAAGTGGGCTACTGGTTGAACATGAACTCCTGTTCCTACGCACAGGCCTATGCAGTCAGTTGGAATTCCGCATAATTCCGCTCACTGCACTGGCCTAGTGACTGGCCCAAAGATTTATTCATGTTATTATATATATATGATATATGTCATAATCTATTCTGGTTTCAAGGTAGGTGGCCCGCTTACTAGCCACCCAACAAGCTTGGACAAGGTCTTCTCAACTTCTCAAGAACATGCACTCCAAAACAACCTACGCAACAACCCTACGCACACAGCCTATGCAAACACTCACATCATCTCAAATCCACGAAATGCTCAAAGGATGGAACGACCTGAAAACTATTTATGGTATGGGACAATTAGGGAAACACATAAGCCGCCAAAACTGGCAAGCATATCATGTTCGCGAGGGGAAAGCGAGCATAGAAAGGAGAGTATCTGCTTTGTGCGAGATTTGAGGTTGCAAAAGGCTCTTGGGTTTCCTCTTCATGAGCACAGCTAGAAGAGTGCCCGCCTGGGAATTAAGTCATTACTGAATGATACAGCCTGGTGCTCTTTTCAGGTGCGGTTCAAGAGCTGGTGACTACTCTCACTTGGCACGTGTGTAGATCAAACAAACTTGGGGACCTGAATGGGCCTGACAGGGTCACTCGCACCGACTCACTCTTTCCAGAAAAGGGGGGAAGTCAGTCCAAACATGTCCAAAGGTCCTCGAGGCACAACTTCGATGCCCTTTCTCCTTCACTTCTCCGCTCCACGGCCCTTGAGACCTTCTCTCGCCCGAGGCGCACTTGCACGGGGAGGTCCACCATCTCAACTTTGGGCAAAATCTTGCCCTGACCTCATGAAGCTGACCCAGCGACCCCGGAAACCCGCACCAGTTCAGTGGGGGTTCGCCAGTGTGGCCGAAATGGAAATGACACCGGGGTGTTAAACGTGCCGTGAACATGCCATGAAACTGAAGGGGACAGAAAGGGCACGAACATGTCATGATTCAGGTCATTGCAGGGACTTCACTGAAAGGCCTCAAAGAACGGGCCCCAGTATGTAGAACCTGGTAGAACCTGCTGTTGAAACATGCGGAACTGACTGGAGCTGAAACGAAGATGAGTAAACACTGCGCAGCATACCGTACTTCGGTGTACAAGGCCTGCTATTGTGCGGGTGCTGTTTGAAATGATAATGGTCTGTACTGTCAAGCTGTGCAGTCTTGTATCTGGTATTGGAACATTTGATTGATATGTCGATGATAATGTAGACTGTTGATGGATAAAACAGTCTAATTTGGAGATGTGAAATTGTTCTGGTGGAGGTGGACTGTTTGATCAACAGTCTGTAATAATTACTATACCTGGACTGTACATGTTCACGCTGTTTCACACTATTCCTTGTCAATACGGACGACCCATAAAAGAAGATAGAAAGGGTCCACTGAGTCAGGCCATGTCGATGCTTTTGACGTTGAGGAGGCATTGAGCAGCTGAGCACATCTGGGCACCGTTCAGGAACAGGTCAGAACGAGGCAACTCATGATAACACGATATAACTCACTACTATATATAGTTAAAATATGCGCGTTAAATATATGTACGTATGCACCATGTTAGAAACACCATGTTGACAACTATATATGTATGTTTATGTCTATGTTGACATCAAATGGTGTCCTATGTGCGAATGGCTCCAGCTTGCTGGACCCTCCGGCCAAGAAATACCCGAATACACCAACACCGAACGCGGGTGAATGTGGGGATTGTGCACGGAAGGTCTAGCATTCTGCAAGTGAATTCACTTACGTCCAAGCCTGCCAAGCTGCAAGCAAAGCAAACTCAAGAAACTCCAAACCTAACCAAGACTTATATAACCTTATATACCAAAATACTGTCTGGAGTTTTCAGCTGTCGGCTGCTACTTCCCCACTAGAACGCCCCAGCGCTCGGCCCTGTAGCTCTGAGCATCAAGCGAAGTAACCCAGAACTTCTTACCAGGTAGTCCCAGGTCTACACAGAGTCCCGGGACGAACAACCAGCCATTCTTCCCACATCGAGTGGCCTTTGTTGTCTCCAGTGACTTTGAAGGATCCATCGAAGGCTCCGCGAGAGGAATTGTCAAGCAAGCGGTCGCCCATCAAATCAAGGATGTCCTCGAATGTCGTGAGACAAAAGACTCCAAACGAAAGACTCTGAACGAAACGAGAGGTTAATGCATCCATGGAAGCCTTCCAAGCTTTTTGAATAGCTGCCGTTTGACTTACATAAAAAAACATCCAATGCATTCCAATGTCCATTCAAAGCCGGCTGCCACAAGATCAGGAAGCCCTGCAAAAATCCAGCTCTCAAGGGTATCCGACACCAGGCCCTGAATCCAACATACGTCGGAATTGATGGACAAGCATCCCTCCATCGAAAAATTGCCGAACACAATCCAAACCAGGAGAATCCAGATTCAGCCAAAGTTTTCTTTATAAGGCCTACTACTTAACTAGTAACTATAGTAACTATTATAGTGAAAACTGGAAAACGAAGGACAAAAGAGAAAGAGCACTGCTCTATCCTTTTGAGTGTTCTGACGCATATTCCGATTCCCATATGCTGTTCTCCGGTTCGCGGGATCCGCTCCTCATAGTCCATCTGGCTCACATCGCGACCATTCACCTTGGTCAAAACCCCTAAATGATGTGTTTTTTGGACAAAGGTTGGCCCAACAATGCGGAGCATTGGTGCAGTTTGGAGGGTAGCTGTGGAAACTCAATGACCATCTATATATGTGCCATGGTCATGACCTCGGCATCTGTGCTGTCCAGCGGCAGATTTCACGACCCATTCGTTCTGCACACCGGCCACATGGGCTTGGCCCAAAGGATCTCCAGGATACCTGCCAACTGCTGGAGACGAAGCAGCTTGCCTGTATCATCCTGTATCTCTCCTTAGTGCATGAACTCCCATCAGCTGGGCTCAGGTCCTGATAGTATCTGTCTTCCATCTTAGCTGCTTAGCTGTGCTTCTAATCGTTCTACGAAGGCAGCCTCCGCAAATCCTGCAACTGTCACCCGCTGACATTCCTCACTTCCCCACGAATCGCCCTTTCACAGGTCCTCGCCTGCTCTGTGGAATCACCTCGATGATGCGTGCGCCCTTGTTGTTGGGGCCTGCCGAGAGAAACCGAGAGAAATGGAGCATCCAGTTGCCAAATGCCGCCATCCTCCGCCCGGGTTTGATATGGTGTGGCTCAGTTTGACCATGGCCATGGTGGATGAAATTGGCTGCAGAATCACTCAGTGGCGTTTTGCATCGCCCTTTGTCCAACTGGCCTTCTTTGGTGGTGAGTGGCCACTCAACAATTGGCGGCAAAAACGCACCGAACACGCACCAAAATGGCCTCAGTTGTGGCTCTCTTAGGTCAATGGCAGGGCGAGAAACCATGGGGAGAAGTGACAAATTGTGGATGATGGTGCCTGATTCTGGATGTGATTGAATGGATGGACTAGGGGTATTGACCGGGATAGCCTGCAAAATGTTTGGGCTCGAGAACTCACTTAGCATACCAAACAAGGGGAAAACAGGTCAGTGATTGGCCGCCCTTACTTTCAGACACACCTGTAGTTCTTGAAATGACTTGGGTGTTGGTGAGCGTGTTGATATTGTGAATGAAATGTATGTGTATACCGTGTAGGTAAATACGTTAAATATATATATATATATATGTGTGTGTGTGTTTCCCTTTATTTATATGCAATTATCTCTGTGTGTGTGTGCACCCATGTGCATATACAGCTTACACATGCACATGCTTTTAGTACGTAATTATACACATCATCATAGGTTCGTCTATAGACCATTGGTTCGAAAAGATTCTTTTCACACTGGACGTCCGGTGGCTCCTCCCCCGAGCCCTGCGCCATGCGCGCCATGCACTCCGCACCCAGCCTGGCTTATACTTCCGGATGCCAAAAGGCCGCTTCCTGATGTTTTTCATGAGGCCCGGAGAGAGGTCCGGAGAGAGGTCCGGAGCCGGCTGCCTAGCTGCCTAGCTATGCCATCAGGTGGGCTTGGGGCACCATGTTGGACCTTATAGACTTATAGATGTAGAGGAAAAAGGGGCGGCCCTTAAACTGCTCATTGTGAGCCTGGGGCAAAACCAAGAATACCAGATCTGACAAAGGATCTTCTAGGTATTTTTGTAGCTAGGCACGAGGGTGTGTGTAGATCCCAAGCTTGTGCAGGATTTTTTGTCAATCAGCAATGCCAGGAAAAACAGAAAACGGACGGAGGATGAAGGATGATAATTTAATAATGGAACATGTTAGCAAGAAAAACTCGGAAGCTGAGGATGCAAGCGCCCTCCTAAAGAGTACAACGAGGAAAAGCGGTGCGGCGACCACGTAGATAGGGGGAATCCTGGCGACCAATCACTTAGCTGGGTATCTCCGCCCACATTTGCCGCACAAATGCGGCTGGCTTTCGGGGGAGCTAAAGCATCCAAATCCAATGGCTTTGCCCTGGTAAGTCTTGTTGGAAGATGTTGGCACAGCTTCTTCGGGGCAACATTCATCCAATCCAAGGAACTTGAACTCAATCTCCACGGTAGATTCCACCTCCACAGCCATGTCGAATGTGAAGACAGGAGGGGACATTGGTACTAGCTATAGGGTGGTTGTGAAACACCATACACTTGCTCATCTCAACATCCCCAGGACTGGAACCACAACCTCAGAGGGCAGTTAGCCCCCCCAAACCCACCCCAACCACCTGTGGCAGGTCCACGTTTAATTGCTTTCGCCGCAGGTGCTGGACCCGCACACCCACCCGACCCCAAAATCGCTTCTGTGTCTCCATGTCTGCGTGTGTTCACGCCATTGAAACTAAGTCTTCTGAAACTGGAAATCACCGGGTCTAACTCTACAAAGGGAGGGGTACACCGTACACCCCCCTCAAAAATACATACACACACACATATATATATATATATATGTGAATGCATTTATGTGACCCGGAGATCTTCTGAATCCTAAACTTCTTGAACGTGAACGTCCTGAGGAGTCCTGACGTCACGAGTCAGTTATGACCTTTGAGGATCGGCTCAGGAGTGCGATCATTAGAGTTGCCACCGATGTTTGGAGAGGTTTTGATGGTGAAATCCCGGCAAATCAACCCCTTAATGGTTAATGGTTGGGACATGTTCATCACCATGAGCGCTTTCAGCAAGCCTACTTGCGCTGACCTGGGCTAACTTTGACTTATAATACCCAGGTTATGACCTACCCTAACCTAGTTATGACCTAGACTATAGGTCCCATATCTTCTGTAAGTCAGTTAGCTGACTTAGCTTTGACTTAGTAAGAGATATAGAGGTTAGTAAACACTTAGGTCGGGCTTAGCCAACTTAGAAGAGTTAGCTTCAACTTAGGGCTGAGTTGGCTAGTCGGCTAAGTCAAAGCTAAGTCGAAGCTAAGCTAAGCCAGCTAAGGCGGTTAAGTCGGCTAAGTCAGCTAAGTCGACTAAGTCGGCTAAGTCAGCTAAGTCGACTAAGTTGGGCCAGGATCATTATGCTATAAGTTGAATATGTCTGGCACCAAACATTCAGAGCATATAGAAGGAAACAATCTGACATTGGCTGACTGTGGGCTAATGTAGAAGGATGAAATCTGTCAGAAACAATATGACACTGTCTGACTGTAGACTACTTAATAATTATGACTGCGAACATAGCCAGGTAGACACTTAGTCGACCGAGCCGACTTACCTAACATAGACTTAGCCGACTTAGCTAAGTTAGCTAAGTCAAAGCTAAGCCAAAGTCCAAGCAAAGTCGAAGCTAAGTCCCATGCCTAAGTCTGACTTAGCTCGGACTTCCAAGCTTGGCTAACTAGGGTCTGCACAAGTATCATGTACGCGGTACACATCTGCTGATCACTCGCGTTTCCTTTACAAAAGGACATCCATCAAAGGTGGTCTTTATGGGTCTTTATCATCTGTTCAAGCTGCGATAGTATAATTTCACTAACTCGCCGCCACCGTGTTGAAGACGACGGGCATTCCAAACCCTCCAGGGAATACTAAGTATCTATGGTGTATATAACATATCAAGGAGATACAGTAAATAATAAATGGTATATAAATGGTAAACTAGACTGAACACGAACCTGGAAAAGAAACAAGAAACATGCAAACCGGCCGGGGCAACCAACTTGCCCTCGCCACCCCACCACCAGCGAGGGCAAAACGGCCGAAGCCCCACCTGGGAGGCATCAGAGGCATCGAAGTCATCCCCACGGGCAATGATCACCTCTGGGGCCATGTATTGCCTGCCCAGCGGTGGTTTGTTTTGGTGTCCCGGTGTCTCATTCTCTCATTCTTTGGTTGGCAGGCTGGTGCTTTCCTCTCTCTTTTTTGGCAGTTTATGACTGTTTGGCTGTGTGTGGTGGGGGGGGACCATTTTGCTGAAATCCACAATGTGATGGCAATGCCCGAGAGACATGAATCCCCATCCAATCTCCTGCGGTCCATACAGCAGTATGGCACGAAAACCCAAACAAAACATGTAACATCATCTAACCTTACAATACCTTGGATCTTCGGGTGCTCCATTGCGAGGATTCTCCAGGCTGGAAGGCCCCCCCATGTGCTCTCGGCATTTGCAGGATTTCATCTGTGGACCCTGCCATCTTGTCCAGATCTCAATGTTTCGGCCCCTGCGGTGGGATGTTCATTGATTTGGGTGGCACAGTCTCAAACGTTGAGGTCTGAAACTTCGCCCTTTCACCCTAGGCTTCCAGGACGGTCCACCGTCCAATATCCCAGTGATGCAGTGGCATGGTGTGCTTGGCGCGTGCACCGCTGTCGGGGCTCCGGTGCCGATTGGGCCATGCTTTTCAACCCCGTCCCATCTTTGGTCGGCTCTGCATACTGGGAAGTGAACAGGAGTCCCCCAAACCACTGGATTCTAACGGAAAATTGTCTTCAACAAGTCAATGTTCAGGGTCCATGTTAGTCTGTATGCATTTCGAAGGCTGAGAAGAAAAACCCAACACAAAAAGATCTGCACAGCTGCATCAATGCATCCAAGCATGCCGCAATTGTTGCCGACAAGATGCAAGGTACCAATGAACTTGCTAGCCTCGCAAAGGCAGCTTCGTGCAAACGTGTTTGCTCTTTCTTGCTATTTCTGGAGGGTTTTCCATGATCTTCCTGTTTACATGCACAGCTATATGGCTCACATGGGCTTCTGGGCTGACCTGTCCTGCGTCTCCTCTGCGTCAACAAAACACCACACTGTCACATGGTGCGGGAGTGAATGGGTCCTCAAAGAATCAACACCGCAAAGAAACTCCGATGACTCTACGCACCATGCCCTGAGCCTATCCTGGAGTCACAGCCACAGCTTATAGAATTCTTTCATATGGTAAGGCCAGGGTAGCCGGTTTTAAACACACGTCAAACAAAAGGTAAAAAAAGGTGAAACGGAACAGTCAAAGTAAAGAGAAGTCAAATGGACAAGTCAAAACAAGGTCAACAAAGTCGGAAAAACAAAGTCAAACACATGTTACAATTTTAAAACAACTCGAAAACAATCAAACACAAAACGAGTCTAATGAAAAACAAACAAATCAAAAACAGTCAAAATGAGAAACCATCTTTAAAAAGTCAACAAAAGTGAGAAAAAATCAAACACAAAAACGTCAAACTTTGAAAACAAATCGAACAAGTCAAAGTCAAAAACAACGTCCGAAAACAAGTAAAAAATACAAAACAATAAAAATTGAAAACACAACTGTACTCGAACAAGTCAAAATACAAAAGTCAAAAAAAGTCGGATCTGGGCCAATTGACCTTTTTGACGTTCTGACACTTTATGATTTGATTACTATTTGTCCTTGACTTTTGGCACAAACTACCACGTTGACTTTTTGTAGACTGCTTTTAAATCTTGAAAGCAGGCTCTCTCCAATGAACGTGTTTTATTTATAAGCCATAGCTAAATCAAAAGACTTGGACACCTTTCCTGAACTTTTTTGGTGTTCAAAGTGTTGTCATCAAGCGTGGATATGTTTCTTTTCCTTCTTACCTCACTAACCTAGCAACAAGGCTTCGTTTTTGTGAATGGCGGTCCGACACTGGCAAAGCACCAGTTCCCAAACATCGTGTGTGCTTGGCGATCCAGTTCAATATTCCAGATGCCAGTCATCTGGGGTGGAAATACACATGCACCCGTGCCAGGGATCCAGGGACGAAACCAACATCGACCTGGAAGAACACAAGCACGAGACATCACGAGACACAAGTCCCTCTCCATGCACCGTCCGTCTTTGGATCAGCACCTGCTCCCCTCCAACCCCCAGGCACTTACGTCCCCCACACCCGCGGTTCGTCGCCTGCAGAGGTCCCGTCTTGGACCAGTGCCCAGCACCGAAGTCAATGAGCTTCACCACGGGATGGTTGATGTCGTGGGTGGAGTCCGTGCACAGCCTCGATCTGGAAGGACGGAGATGGAAGAGAGGTCGACTAAGCGGGTGGTGGCAAATGGATCAACAAAACAAGTGATGGCCCACATGAATGGGCCGGAAAAGGCTTAAATAAAGAAACATTGGAACTATAAGTGTGCAACCGCACAGTACATCTTTTCACTTGGTGAGGTTGACAGGTTTCGGCTGTCATGGGAAGCCACTCAAACCAGTGTAGACAGTGCTCCCCAAGATGCTAGAGAAACATCAAGAAGCATCAACAGTCCATGCAGCAAGGCTCTGTGAATCGTGAATCCGAAAACAGATTGAATCAGCCAGTGTTGTAGCCTTGTAGCACACCCCTCCAGCCCCAGTGGTCCCAGTCATCCAGAGTGCAAAACCCTCTGGAGACCGTCATGTCCAAGTCGTCCCCAAAGCAAAGGCAGCCAAGGCGCAAAATGTTGTCGGTCTTCAGGTCTCTGTGCAGGACATTCTTGGAGTGCATGTGCTGGATCGCTGAGAGGACTTGTTTGAAAATGCCTCAGTTCGGACAAGGTCAGGGAGGGGGGTCTTTTCGCGAAATGCTTTTGTTACGAGAAGTTCTTTTGGGGTATTTAACGGCGATCCCTTGGCATCCCTACCGAACTGTCGTTGGCCTAGGGCTTGTGGCCTTTGAATATGCAAGCTGTCCAACACCTGCACGTCTTGTGAACATCCATTACACCTTTACTTCTCTTCCAACAGCTTTGGGGTTCCCCTGACTGTCAGTGAAATCTTGGTCTCGTTGCCGCGGTTGATTTCAAAGGAACTGCATCCCCACAACTTCCATATCCACCGTGTGCCTCCGCGTTGACAGGATGCGAAACGAAACGAGCTGAAGGCACCACAGAAGCCACAGGCCTCCAGCAGCCTAGCCAACAAAAGGCCGAACCGGACTGCCCTTCATTCCCCAGGCAACACCGCTTGGCCCGCTCCATCTCCTGTCGAGCGACCCTTGGCCTTGTCCTCCGTCATCTTCCCAGTCTTCTCCAAATAGTCGCTGAGCTCACCACCACGGGCCAACTCCATCACGATCATCTTCCCAGCTTCCTGGCATGGTGCATTTCGGGGGGGACAGTTTTAGGCGGGGGCCGGAAGCGCGCAGGCATGGCGAAGACCCCACAGGTCACTTGCCAAGCACTTCGACAGAAAACGTGTCAAGACTAAGTTAAGAATTGCTCAACATTGTTGGTATGATGTGACAGAACCCAAGTCTTGAATCGAGGTGATTCCACTTCTGGCCAAGATGCCCCTTGGTTGTCGAACACATCGATGAGCTGCACAATGTTGGGATGTTGGCCAATGTGCCTGCATCAGCCATCAAACGCATCCAAGAACCATTGGGAAGAAAACACTCATCGAACACCTAGAAGCACACCCAGCACATCCAGCACACCGACTCTTCTTCTTACGGGCCCTAGTTACCTAGTTCTAGACTTCCCTCCCGCGGCTTCCAGGATCTTTCAGGCTTCCAGGTCGATCTACGAACCCTCCTGACTCTCATCACCTAAAAGCGCTTCGGCCCAGAGTTCCACACTGTTCCACGTGCGAGCTCATGCTAACTCCCGAGCCGCTTCCCCAGGAGAAGTTGACATTCTTCCACCTGTTCATGTTAGTGGGGAATTGTAACACAATTCCTAAAACAAGGTTAAAGGAAGTCCACTCACAGTGGTATGTCATGTGTAGACCCAGGTTTCTTCAAGCACTGTGACTTCTTCGGTGACGCTAATACAGTGATGTCGATTTCCTTTCCGTATGCCAAAACGACAAATCGCGTCAGCAAAGCAAGGTCATTCAACACCCCAACGACGTACCATAACCCACACCCCTGAACCAACTCTGCAACAAGTTCAGTGCAACTCGGCGAATATGGCTTGTGAACAAGCCTCATTCTCCCGACCCATCAACACACTTGATTCCTCCATGTGTTTTGTGACCACGCACTCTGGCACTCTTCCTCTCCCTGCCTCTCTCCCTTCCCACCTTTCCAAACACACGCACACATAAATAAACAAATAAACAATATATATACTGTATATATACTGTATAAATAAATGCACAAACAGAGTTCCCCACTTCTTCTTCATCCGACACTGTGGGCCCAAAAGCCTGTGGATCTCGATCTCTGTCTCAAGGATCTCGGGGTTTGCGGTAAAGACTTGCTTCACGGCACGTTCTTGGCCCTGCATGTCAGTACACTTGTAGACCTGCCATGGCCGCAAGCGCGCTCCACACTGCACATCGTTAGGTGGCCTGGTCGCACAAAATCCAGTGTTTTGTGCAAGAATACTTGAGTTTTTGAGAAGTGAATTCGCTTGGGATCAGAGTAAAGAAAATCATGCTGATCTCAAAAGCACCTGTCCTGCAAAGCTGTGCGCGATGTACATCGGCCCAGAATGGTTGGATGCTAAAAGGTAAATCCATTGTACAGTACAGTGCTTGCTTAAATTGGCGACAATGACTGACACTGACAATCACAATGCATTATACCTCGCTCAAAAGCTCCGAAGCACCCAACATGTCCTCTCTCAATAATTACGGAGAATTCATCTGCCCATTGGAGTTGATCTTTGGGGTAGCTTGGGCGTAGACCAGTGAATCCCGTGGGAACAAGAACACCTTTTCCACGGAGCATCTATGTAGATATATAAAATATATACAATGTTCCCATCACAATACTAAACGAGTCAATTATAAACGCATGATTTAGTGCAATGTACAATGATAAGCAAAATACAATCAATACACAGTAAAACTTGACTTACTCCTCTACAATAATGAACCTGCTTCTCTCGTGGGTTGCAATGATAAACTTCACTTTGTGCTCTACAGTGGCAAAAACTGTTTGAGATTGTAGTAGGCATGCATCAATAATAAGTGTTAATTACTCCTCTACAATACTAAACCTACTTTAAGCATCTGCCTCCAACATAGAGCTGTGTGACAAATTAATAAAACTAATTGTCACTCTCATTGTCTCATATAGGGCCGATTGGTAACTGGTCATGACCCATGAACCACTGTCACAGGCTCTCTCTTGGGATTCAACTACTGTAATCAATCATGCAACAGTTTATCTTTGCGGGGCATCGACTCAAAGAAATGCTTCACTCAAGGATTGCCCTGAGCACCATTAACAAGAATTCACAAAGGCATGCCCTCCAGCCACTGGTGGAATATTCATTCCGAGTCATTTAGATGCAACACTTTTGGGAGCCGTATGTCAACTGCGGACGAGAAAAAACAAAACTCCTCAATACTCCTCACATGCAAATCGTTTACCATCCGTTGGGGGAGTTTATTAAACAATGTCAACATGAGTCACATGTCATCACAGCCCATACCTCTCTCACCTCTCACCCACACCCCACGGACCACATGGCGTGGGAAGGCCCTTTTTTGTTGAGCATCGAATTCTGAAAATTGGCAAATAGGTTTCCAAACTTGAAAGTTGTTCTCCAACATTTTGAGCATCGAATATATTAGAGGTCTCCCTATTCCAATTGCACTCCTACACCATTTTGTGTTGGTTCTTCTCTCTGTGCCCCCGACGTCCAACCCAGCAAGACCGCCTTTCCGTAGCCACCGGAGCCTAAGAGATTGTTCTTGTCCTTAGAAACTGGGTGAGCTGACCAAGCTGGGTAAGATCAAAAGCCAGTGGGTGCAAGTTAAGATGTCACAAAACAAAAGGAAATAATACGGGCAATCATGCCCATCCATCCAACTGGCAGGGTCACGGTGTTCAATCTTTCAATCTACAGCGGCCAGCGCTACAAGATCGCCGTATACTACGCTGCATGCTACGACACGTGCATCTTCCTCGCGAACTCGCATGATTTTCTTACATTTCTAAGGGTCCGCGAAGATGTTGCGTGACCGTCACTGCCAAGACACAAGCTGATATCCGGTGCCAAAGGTCATGGTCATGACCTAGGCTGCCACCCGACCCATGGGAATCAGGAAAGGACAAGACGTACGGTACCACCATATCCATCACGGCAATTCGGTTACGACCGGTTGACCGACCAACCAGTGGGTCCGGAGTGTGGAGTGTCAGTACTCCTGCAGCCGATGAGTTCTTCAAAGTTCCCTACACTTGGTTTCTGTGGAATCCTGGCACGGTGGATGGGCTACACAAGCTACGGTTCTCTAAGGTCGGGAAAGTTGAAGAAGCTCTTGCTTCGGGAGGTCCTTTTCAAGCACAGACCGATCTGTGCTTCACACATTTCACAGAGCCTCACGGTTCAAGTCTGGCTCCATGAATCAGCTTTAGACAAGGATTCTAGGGATCGAAGTTGCAATCCATACAAGGTGGCAGGTTTCTGGCTGGGCCTCCCAACATTGCAGGGAACCAGGCTTCCATGTTGCCATACACGCAAGGAAGCCAAGGCAACGCCTCAGCGAATTGGCCGCATCAGTGCTGTCAAAACAGCACAACTTGGTCATGCCGTCGGCGCAACCAGTCTCTTGCAATGCACAAAATGCACCTCAAAAATAATCTCAAATCATTGTGCCTGAAGCAAGGCAAGAAGCCTAGGATGGCCACACCAACTGACTGTTGCTGATCACACCAAGCACGTGAAGACGACCAGTTCAACTTAGGAATCGATTCAAAACTGGAGATCTCTTATGACAGCCCGCTGGACATCCAGCTCTCTAGCCAATGCAAGTCTTGACTTCAATAAATAAAGGTTCAAGAGTGAACCGTGAACATATCCGAATCTGCCAGGTTGGATCGTTAGCAGCCCAGTAATGCCCGGTATTGCCTCATATCAACATTGTAACAACCTTGCCTCTGATCCCTGAAGCCCCCTGGAGCTCGCATGAGCCAGTTCCAAGTCACAAAGCAACGGCAATCCACCACGGCGAGTCGTCCGGGTCATTGTGCCTGCTAAAGGCTTGCACTGGACTTGCAAACCCAGGGATTGCAAAACACATTCAGTGTTGAATTGGGCTTCGTGGGCGCATCTTTGCCTCTGCGGGCGGTTAATTATGCACTTCCATGCACTTCCACTTTCTTGTAAAGCACTCTTGTGGACCACATAGTATGTCGTGGACGGTCGGTTTAAATAGCAGTTCACTCGCACGCAGTGTTGCGTGGTATTCATACGAGGAGGGAACTTTGTGGCAAAGAGATGTGTTACAGGTGTTGATGTTTTTCCCTATTTCTGGCCCTGAGCACATGTCCGTGGAACTAGCCCAACTCTCCAAGAAGTGATGCTACGGGACAAACATTCCCCATTCCTAGCAGCATCCTCTTCCAGCCTCGCGCCCGAAAACAAACACGGCGACATCGCCGAGCAGTCATCGAATGCCCAACACGGATGAACAGCAGGTTCCAGCAGGTTGTCTGAACCTGGTTCCTGATAGCGGTGGCTTGTCCGTTTCAGTATTAAAGGCGGTGATAGATTAGAAGGCTTGGTGTGTCAGTCTCAACGATGATTTCGAGCGAACGAACTCTATCCAACTCACGGAACCCGACGATAGTCAGTGGTTGGAATTGCCACACTTGGAAGTTAAGCAAGACATCAAAAACCATCACCCAGTTCTCCCACTCATTGCCGGTTTGGGCCAACTCTGCCTGGATCTGGTGTCTGCCGGTCAAAATGCTGCTCACTCGAGCCGCCAGAGGCTGCGGCAGGATGTGCTGAATGGCTTGCCACTATATACCAAAAATGCTACAAACTCCGATGGAAAAGCTTGATGGACCCGCCCTGAATGGTGCCACACCGGCCTTCACAAGTCTTGGTATCTGCGACCATCACGGCCCAAAGAATGTCATAGGCTTGGTGAAAGCACAAAAATCACAAACCTTTCCCCAAATGGAGTGATGATCAAGCTCTTCGATTTGCTGCAGCTAGGCGCAGCCAGCATGAGGGATTGTCCTCCATGTGCAGGGGCGAATCGAGTCTGCACCGTGCACACCGTCTACATAGTCTACAGAGCCTACATGAGCTTACACAGTCTGACACAGGAACGGATGTTCTGTACAACATCCATTATCCAAACAAAGCGAGTCGTGGAAACACCTCTTTTTGTGACAGTCCACCAGAGTGGAGAAGCCCTTTATAGTAGCGGCCTAGCAGTTAGAATATTCCAAAATTAAATACATGCAGTTAGAATATTGAAAATCACATTAAGGTGGGTGTGAAAAATTTGCAGTTAGAATATTTTGCAGTTAGAATGTCACATGTTAAGCCACTGGATGAACAAGCAGCCTTTTTCCCTCGCAATCCCGATGTTTTTGTATCTATCTATCTAGCAAATAAGGGGAGCAAGTCTAGTCTTCTCACAGCATCCTTATTGAATGCAAAAGGCACACAGTGCTTGGCAAAAAGTATCTAACGCAGTTATTTAGGTTATAATGCATGCATATGCATACTGATGCATTCAGGATACTGATGCTTGCAGCCCTGGATCATGGATCATCCCTATCTATCTGTACTGGGACGAACTCTGACACTTCAAATGCCACCACGCGAAGATGGTAGATTCCCATGCACCATGCAAGCAAGCCTCCAAAACAAAACGCCATCCCGTTGATATTGGCTGGACTGCATGCAGTTGGGTTATGCTTTCAACAAAAGAAACATAAACAAATCATGGCTTGCCTGGATCCGATGACCAAAGATCCTCTAATCTCTTGAGTTGCTTCTTAGCCAAACGGTCTGCATTGTTAGTTTCACAGTAATGCTGGAACATTAAAATCAGGACTCTGATGAGAGCTTGTTTGGGGCTTCGCCCACTTCCCTCACCCCATACTCGGCCAAAGTGTTTTGACCCAGGGCATGAAGTACGCCACACCCTGGATCCTTCATGAACTCCTACCGTGCAACCTGCTGGTCTGTCTGTGAGCCCAGCTTTCTGCAAATCCACAAACTCTGGTCGCATGTATGCTGCTTGCACCCGGGTCTTTTGTTGAAGTCCAGTGGTTTGGTCTGCTTCATCAAAGTCCTCGTCTTCCAAATCACTGTCCATCATGACCCACCCATCAATGTCCAGCTCTACTGAATCTTCCTGCTGCTCATCACTGTCGTTCACAACAGCTTCATTGTCATCTAGGGCACCTGCAGCATCCATCATCACATCATCTTGCAGATCATGTGCTGCGTCTTCGATCGCAGCTCCTGCACAGTAAACCTGTATTTAATATTATCTATCTTTTTACCAATTTGTCTGGTGCCTTTAAAAACTAAACATTTTCTTGCACTTAGAATATTGTGTCAGTCCCGAACCCACATATGCCTTTCTTTATCTAGATATGTATATATATATATATATATATTAATTTATATGTGTCAATGTGTACTCACATCAAAGGCAAGTAGCTACTATGTAAAATGCATATATCTAGCCAACCATTGTCCTGGTGCAACATCCAACTCTTCCGGAATGCTTGCTTGTGCTTGCGGGTGTACGCCAGTAAGGAGCACCAGCTGGAAGTACTTGCCACCTCCGGATCTGATGCGAAGCTGATCTGCCTGCTCGCTCACACGAATCTCCAAAAGTAGGCACGATGCTTTCTGCTGCTGCAAGTGTTTGGAACTGAAGTTCATGACCTGGGACTGCCGGTTCTTGTCCAGCACCAGGCGTCGCGTGTCGCACTGGTTCCATTTGTCATAGTTTTCTTGAGCCTTGGGTGGAAGTCCGGTCTTCCCTTCATTTCTGCGCTTCAGAAATTTATGCTGCCAATCATCACTCTCCTTCTGCCAAATTGAAAGTGTTCTGGTAATTGGTAAATTCCACCAGTCTGGAAGCAAGATTGGCTCAGCGCCAGGAAGATCTTGGTCAATGATTGCCCATCCAGTAGCCTGTTCACCCACCAAAGTAGTATTTCTTGCATCAGTGATTCGCTTGGCTTCTTCATCGTAGTTATCCTCGCCAATGCCATCTAACTGAAAAAGGTACCGCATAGATCCTCTACATGCCTTCATGCACTCATCCAAGGCCTGCCGACTGCCTTCAAATCGCCAAGAAGCCATATCTTCCGGAGTGACCAGGCCCCTGCTCATCCACGCATGCATGATTAGCTTTCCACCTCCAAATTTCTTGAGTTGTGTCAAGGCCCATGCGTCTGCTCTCAGGCTACTGCTCGTGTCTAACCTCAGTCTGAAAGCATCTTTAAAGTCTCGACTAGATAATCTTGATTCGTTTGACTCCTGTATAGATCTCAGAGAATATTCTATCTGCAAGGAAACCTGTCCAGATCAAAAGCAATCTTATAAGTTACTTACTCTCGAGCAGGTCGATGAAATAGTTTTTTCTCAGTGCTTTGTTGTTTTGTTGTCATTAGGGCTTCCCATGTTGTTGTCATATTGTTTTCGATATCATATAGTGTCATTGTGTTTGTCATTTCCTGTCAACTGTCCTAAAATTATATACTGGTCCTATATGTATTGTTGTTCTTTAGATTAAGACGAGACTCATCCTATATTTTAACATTACAGTGAGCGGCAGGAGGAGGAGCAGTCTATTTGAATATTCTAACTGCACTGTTTGTGCAATGTTTTAATAAGAGCAGCCAATAAGATCATCAGTAGGCAGAGGTTTGCTTGTTTGCTAGCCATGCAGTGAGGGATGCCGGTTATGCGCATGATGCTAATGATGCTGAGCCTTGGAAATTTTAATTGTTTGAAAATGATCTGAAGCTCAATAGTTGTGTCCGTTTTCATCCGATTCTGTTGAAAATGGTCTTATATCTTCTCAAAATATATAGTATCAAAGTTCCGTGACATTTTGCACCCTCACCAACATTCAAAAAAACGGTCAGTCTCCCGTTAAGGGAAGAGACACAGAGACAGGGGGAGAGGAGAAAAAGTGAACCAAAAGTAGCTAGTTAATTTTTTATTCTTAGTTATTTTCCTGGTCTAATTCCTTCAGTTCCTGTCTTCCCTTGAGGTTTCAAGAGTTTTGAGGCCATTTCTTAAAATTTAGGATTTTTTGGAAAATTTGTGAAAATTCAATGTTTTTGGGACAGTTTGCTGGTCCAATTCCTTCAGTTCCTGTCTTTCCTTGAGGTTTCAACAGTTTTGAAAGCATTTCTTAAAGATTGATTTTTTTGAATGTTGGTGAGGGTGCAAAATGTCACGGAACTTTGATACTATATATTTTGAGAAGATATAAGACCATTTTCAACAGAATCGGATGAAAACGGACACAACTATTGAGCTTCAGATCATTTTCAAACAATTAAAATTTCCAAGGCTCAGCATCATTAGCATCATGCGCATAACCGGCATCCCTCACTGCATGGCTAGCAAACAAGCAAACCTCTGCCTACTGATGATCTTATTGGCTGCTCTTATTAAAACATTGCACAAACAGTGCAGTTAGAATATTCAAATAGACTGCTCCTCCTCCTGCCGCTCACTGTAATGTTAAAGAAACATATATATATATAAACAGTAGAGAAATTTGTACGAAAATCATAGAAACTCAGAATCTGAGCAATCATTGTATGTACCTGCAATGGGCCTGGACTACCAATCTAAGAACCGCACGAAAACCGAGGGTTCCCATCGATGGAGATCTCCATGTCTTGGAGAGCACGCCTCACTTGTGCACATCCACCTAAGCCAGCTGCCACCCTCATCCAACTACGCCGTAAAGCATGCCAATGATTGTGCCAGCCGTCGTTTGGTCCTCCAGTCGCACCCCACCCGCCCGGAATGCACACCAAATCCGTGGAGGCACCATGAACTATCAGGCAGTCGTGTTGCTGCTGCCAACGTTGACGTGCATCCTCGAAGATGCTTGCATGGTGGACTGAGGCTTTGTCACAAAGCAGTAGGCCCCTTGATGTTGCATCTAGTCCAAGCTCTTGCCTTTTTGCCCGCAACTCAATTGCAAAATGATCCAAAAACTTCATCATTGTGGATGCTTGCCACATATGAGACCGGGAATCATGTGGATCAATAAACATGACCTGGGGCCGGATGTTGACCTGTTGAATATTCTAACTGCAACCATACAATACCTAGGGAGAAAGAAAACATATGAACACATTAAGCTGTTATCTTGGAACGTTCCCGGAAACAGTGTAGCTGCAAAAATTGACAGCAACTAAGCTTTATACTCCCTTCAACTCCTCATTCATGGCTGTCACCACGCTCATTGGCATTGTTGAGTTGGGTGCCGTGACATATGCCGTTGCAAGAGTGCCATCACTCCACGAAACTGTAGTGGTGGTACGGGCTACGCGGTGGTAATCCACAGGGTTCAAATTCCCCTCTGCATTGAGAACAGGATGTCTGGGAGCATATGGGGCAATCTCTTGACAGCCGGTAGGAGAAAGGCCCAGTGCTGCTTCAATGCTGGCAATCATTTTTTTGACAGTTGGTTTGTGCTGATCACTTGGACACGTCCCACGGTCCTGCTGAGGTTTGTACAAAGTCCGTCTAGCATGCTCATAGTGGGTCGAGCACACTTGGTCCATGTTGGCTATCAGTCTTGGGTTGATTCCGTGGGTCTCAGAGCATTGTCCAACCCACAGCCTTACCTTCTCCATGTCACTGTGCTCAAACGGTAAATGCTTTGATGGCTTTGTCACCTGGGAAGAGCGTATTCCCAGACGGATGCAGAGCCGTCTTGCTGAAGACCTAGGTTTCTGAGTTGTAGACACATAATGATTGGTAGACAAACAGGTCGGAAGGATATCTGGAACAACCTGTTAAAACAGTCCGCCAAGCTGCCTCAAAGCTTGAAAGTTGTGACTGATGTCTATTGGCGTCAAAGCTTCTACTAAAGCATTGATTCTATTGGCGGTCTCTTCCTCAATCCCTGCAACCTCATCGTCAGAGACATGGGCTTGGATCTTTTTATCCTGCTCTGCAAGCACGTCCGGCCCCACCACCTCAATGACTTGGGATTTGAACTCCTCAATCTTGTCGTTCCAAATTTCAAGGAGCTGCCTTATCACACTCTCCACAAAGTCATACCCGATCTCCTCCCCAAGAGACATTCGATCCAGCAGAAAGGTCTCAGCAGCCATAGCAAGTTGGAACGGTATTCGGTGCAAAGGCTCGCCAGGCTTGGATTTGTATCGGCCCCCTGTGTGCTTCAAAACCTGATTGTCAGCACAGCGCCAGCTTGCTAAAATCTTACACCATAACCATTTACCTAGAATGGTCGCCTTGCAAATAGAATACTCAAGTCTAGAAACACATTTCATAGAAACACAATTCTGACAGTCTTCGTACCTATGGATTCATTGTTTGTCCAACAAAGTTAACCAAGCATGGTTCTATCTATTTAGATACAGTAAATGAGAAAGGATTGCCAATCTCTTCTGAAGGGCTTTGATTCCCAGAGATGGTCTGAGGCTGTTTGGAACCTCCATCACTCTCTTGCTAAGGTTCGGAGCGTGTTTGATGAAGACGTTCCATTTGTCAGCCATCCTTCTGCCTCCCCAATGTGACTTGCTAAAGCACCCTTGGTATTGGCCTGCTCTGTTGCCATTCTTCAACATGTGTGCCTCCGGGTTTGATACACCGCTGGCTTTCAGTTCATCATACTCCTTAGTGCCACTATGTGCCAAGATCTCTATCCCACACGTTCATAAGAACTGTTTGAACGCCTTCTTGTTATATGGTCCTGATCTATTCAAAAGTTTAGTACTTGCAGTTAGAATATTACTGTGTTCCTGTCTTGTCATATTGACTCAAGAGGAACAACAACTGGATGAAAATGACAAGGCACTTTGAACAGCTGCATCTTGGTCCAAATGGACATTGATGATCTTTTCCCTGGCCGCTGACGCTTCAACCCAGCTTGAGACATGGGGTCTTTGGAGCCCTGTGGTCTTCCCCGCTTCCTCTTGCCTTGCTGCTCTACCAGCTGTGTAGCTGCTTGTTGAAGACGGCCGATTGGATCACTTGTTGAACGGCTACTCGAATGCTGAGCTGGTGGTCCAGTGCCATATATGGTGTTCTCAGCCTTTGTTTTGCATCTGAGGCGCAACTGCTTAGTAGGCCTTTCAACTGGGTCATTGGTACCACTCTCGAGCGCCACAACCGAATTGATTGCAACTGGTGGTTCTTTATGGTCAGCCTGAAGTGATTCTTCCATTGGTAGACTGCACTCTGATGAGCTTCTCTTGCGCTTGGTTCCTGAGCCAAACTTTCCATCCCCAGATTGGCTATCGGTGCTCGAACTTGTTCCCTGGCGAACCAACACGTCATGGTGCTGATCATCCTCAACCTTCTTGCACAATGTTCTCCACCCAGAAGAGTGAATCAATGATGCGATCAGCTTTGCCTGTGCAGAAGTTGATGCAAAAGAATGACCTGGCGTTGAGAAGGGAGGGTCGGTTGATATTATATAGATAAAGATTCTACAGACAGTATCTATCTATACCTGCCTAGATGCCAATCTATCTACCAACCCATCTATCTATCTAGATACATCTACTTGCATTGCCAATGTTTAAACAACACACAGACTAAGCTTACATACAGTATGTCTATCTACTATGATAATACCTCACCCTGACGTTCCATCAATCCAGCCTGCCATGTCCTGGGTATTCTTGTCGTTCTCCCAGAGGCGCTCAACAGCTTCAGGATTTGCAAAGTCTTCTTTGAACAAACCCTGACCTGTCCACATCTCACATGGACGAACAAATCGACGTAGCTTCTGGCTGAATATTGAATGAGTCGGCCTAATGCAAGTGCAGACACCAACCGCTGCTTCTGCTTTCCTGCTGCTAGAGGTTCCACCATCACAAAAAGCATTGCCAGAGCAATGTTCCAGCTCATGCATTTCTATGGCCTCGTTCAGCTTCTTTTGCTGCAGGCTGTTCAGCTTGTCTGGTGGAAGCGACTCATCAAAACAGGAGCTGAACGGGAACAGGACATCACTCGCCAAGCTCCTCACCGTGTTCTTCATGTTTGTCTTATAGCCAATGCTGTTCTGTCCTGAGTTCAAATCCATCGTTGCCCAAACTCGGTTCCTCCTTTGGCGAAGCAAAAACCATTGCGCGTCAAGGATATCATATTCCATGATGTATCCCAGTTTTTCAAAATCCTTTGCCATGACCTGTTCAAGGGCAAGGATGACGATGCACTGGAATATTCTAACTGCAAGCATGTAGCCTAGTTGGGAATGTGAATCCTTATTCTTTCAATCTATCTAGATGTAAAACCAAAAAGAGCATTTGAAAAACTATCTATCTACAGTACATAAGATTGATTTTGAACCCCTGCCTCTGTCAGTGGAGGAAGTATCTCAACTTGACCCTTTTGAACTGTTTTGCTGCGATCTGCTACCCCAGTCACATTCTCATAGAACACAAGGGCCGGGCAGCAAGATTCCGTCGCAGCCACCACACCTTGCTGATATGTTCTTCCGGAAGATCCATCACCGGTGAGGTAGCCTGTGTCGAGTCGGAACAAAGAACAATCAATATATCTATCTATCACATGATATTTCCAAAGCTCACACAGACTATATATCCAGAGTAAAATATGTATCTATCTATACACTTGCTTTTGCACATGCAAGTGGCACTGGGCATACTGGCGCTTCTCAATGAACTCTTTGGACACGTTTTTGCAGCTTGGCCCGGCAAAGAGAACATCCAAAGGAATGTTTGCATCGTGTTCAGTTTGGCATGAGTAGCAGAATCCCTTACCATCCTCAAAGACCTTGACGTCTGCAAAGACATGGAAGGGACAGTCTTCGCCGGGGTTGGTGTGAGCGGCCATGAGGAATTCTCGCTTGAAAGGCTCTATCTCTACAGACAGCACATGCTTTGGCTGGATGTTCACCTTGTCATCCAAGCGTTCCCCAAAAGAATATTCTATCTGCAAAACTTTTGTATGTGCACAAAAGCAAAAGAATACAAAATATGTTTATCTATCTATCTATCTGTCTATCTATTTAGATTGCTGACAAAAAGTAATAGCAAACAAGGCCAGTTGCTGAGAACTCTTCATTGATAGCAGAGAATGTATGCAGAAGAATGCTCCAAGAGATATCTGTTCCACTGCATGTAGACCCAGTTTGGATAATGGATCCATCCAGATTAAGTGCAGTCTCCCGTAGTTGGCTGTAATCTTCTGCAGACAGCTTTGCCATGAAATATTTGGCAGTCTCCTTAAGCCGCATCTCTGGCAATTCCACATGCTTGTAAGACCGAAGCGATGACTTTGCCACAGAGAAGGACTTTCCACGCAAGCCCAAAGGAACCTGAAATGACATCTCGGGCACCACCAAGTTTGTCAATGTCCATGCAAAGACGGGCTTCCCAGATTGAACAATACGTGCACGCCAAGCCCTTTGCAAGTCAGGGTGAGCACATCGAAAGTCCGGGTGAGAGCGAAGAGTTGCAAAGTCTTGGATTGGAACCACTTGTTGAAGGGTTGCTTCTGCAGCAATCATCCCTCCACTGCCAACTCCAACCAAATATACTCTGTGCACACCCTTCTTCAGTTTCCAATTCATCAAAAGTGTTTTCTCTGTATCTAAAGGCGGGCTCAGCACCTTGTTCAACAAATGCTCTTGCAGGCGCACAACCATGCATAGCTCTTCATCTGCATCGGCTTCGGGATCGTCTGTGTGGTTGCCAGGTGGACGCTGTTCGCAGTTTGCATCTCCGCGAAACATCCTGTCAACATGGCTTTGGCAGTTGTAACTGGTTCCGGGAAGTCTCCCGTCTATCATTCTGTCCAACCTTGCTTGCTTGCCTCGGTATCTATTTTCATCAAACAACTTCGTCACATTTTCTGGGCACGTGTCCCTTTGGCACACTTGTGGAACACTGGGCATCCTGTCCAATGGAGCCTTACTCCCACAAGTTTTAACCCGGTCAAAAAAGGCATTGATTGCATCTTGAGAAATGGTCATCACCTCCCCTGTCTCTGCCTGTTGCTCTGGAGCTTCATCAGGTTGTGATGACTGTTGTTTTGCTTCCATGGTGCTGCTGGCTTGATGTACTGCTGTTTGTGCCGGTATCTCTGCCTGTGGCTTTGGAGGTGCCTCAGGCTGCTGTTGCTTTGCTTCCATGTTGCTGCTGGCTTGATGCGCTGGTGGCTGTGCCGGTATCTCTGCCTCAGGCTTTTCTGTTTGTGCCGGTATCTCTGCCTGTGGC